TGAGTTTTATCACTTGTCCTTTTTACAAATGCGATTGTCTTACCAATCCTCAGGTCAAGGCTCGTAATATTCAGTTCCATCGCAAACGCAATCTGCAGTATTATGACCTATCAGCGAGATCTAACTACAATTTCGAGAAGCCTTTCCTCTGGCTCGCTCGCCGCCTCACTAACCAACCTCAGCTCGTTTTCCAGGTAATTAGCATGGACGTAGTGATGAATGAGGAAGGACTTTTGGTTGTTGTTGTTTTTAGGGTGAATTCGCCAAGGCTCCGGAGTTCCAGATTAACCCTGAGCTCGTGGCCCAGCATGAGAAGGAATTACAGGCTGCCCAGGACCAAGCTATCGATGATGATGACGATGACTTGTAAATAATAACAACATGCTCGAGGTTACTGCCTATAGTAGTAGTGATGATGGTGCACGCATACGATGGGCGTTGATAATGGATACCGTCAATGAGTGGTGTTTGGTGATGATGATAGTATTTGCATTATTTACTCGTTGCTACTATTTGCATTACGTTATACCTCGCGGCCCTGTAATGACTGCCACGTATCTGCCTATTCTCAAATACCAATATTCATGGGTTGAGTTGAGTCGATTCGGGGAGAGTGATTATTGTGGAAATTTTCGTCACGCGCCACGAAATTATTCGAAGTTAGGATGATGATGCATTAGTTTTCTCAAACCTTTTCCTTTTTCTCCTCACTTGGCGGCATGTCGTTTGGTGGTAAGAGTGAGTACGATCGGGGTGTGAACACCTTTTCACCCGAGGGTCGTCTCTTCCAGGTCGAGTATGCGATAGAGGCCGTTAAAGTAAGGATAGTAGTAGTAGTAGTAGTAGTAGTAGTAGTAGTAGTAGTAGTAGTAGTAGTAGTAGTAGTAGTAATAGTAGCAGTAATAGTAGCAGTAATAGTAGCAGTAATAGTAGCAGTAATAGTAGCAGTAATAGTAGTAGTAGTAGCACGCTGTTGTATTATCCTTGTGTTTAGCTCGGTTCCACGGCGATTGGTATCACCACTAAGGAAGGAGTAGTATTGGCTGTAGAGAAGAGGGTTGGCAGTAGGTTGTTGTTGAATGGTAGAGATGATGGGTATTGACTCCTGACAGGTCCTCTTATTGAGCCCAGCAGTATTGAGAAGCTGATGCAGGTGAGGCACCGGTGGGTTAGATAGAATGGCTAATCGAATTCACGTGTATGGATATTGTTACTAAGATGATGATGGTTGTTTCTGAGTAGTGGTGGTGATATGAATACCTTGCCTTAGATTGCCCCTCACGTTGGATGTGCTATGTCTGGCTTGACAGCTGATGCGAGGACTCTGGTTGACCACGCTCGGGTTGAGGCATTGAACCACGACTTCACCTATAACGAGCCCATGCAGGTGGAGAGTATTGTAATAATACCACTAGTGTGCTGAGGGGGTTGTGATGATGAGGTGTAGGTGCACAGTATATCTGATATGGCTTTGGACTTCTCGAGATCTGATGATAAGAAAAAGAAAGGTGACAAGAAGAAGAAGGTAATAGTGGGGGTATTGTTTGTAACAGTGTTGGAATATATATTCGCTTTCCTCACCTGAGCTTAGGAGTTTCCCCATAAGATAGAGAAGCTCATATACGAAGTCGGGTAGAAATGTATAGAAATCAGCAGTAATTTCCCATCAGAATTTTCAAATTGTCGCCGACGTATGTAGTTGGTCACCATCATGGTCAGACCATGTGCATATTCTCCTAGACTGGGTTGTAGTAGTATCATGGAGAGATTATATTGAAGTTTCACCCGTTCTACGTGAAGTGGGCGTGAAACTCGGTGGAAAACGCAGTGGTCGTGAAATGTGTTTTTCACTTTAGTTTTTCATATCGCTAAGGTGAAACTCCATTGTACAGCATGGCATCGTTGTGTTAGACTATGTCCCGTCCCTTTGGTGTTGCCTTGTTGGTGGCTGGTGTGGACTCTGATAATGGTCCTCAACTTTTCATGGCTGATCCTAGTGGCTCATATACGAAGTAATACTAATCAAACCGTATGTAGTGTGGCATGTTGAACGTAAGATACCGAGCTGCTGCTATTGGCTCGGCTGCTGAGGGAGCAACAAGCCTTCTGTTGGAGCAGTTTAAGGAGAGTATGAGCTTGAAGGAGGTAGGAAGTGGGCGGCGAGTGGTATGACAATGTGGTTGTGGTGATAGGCTGAGGATCTAGCATTGGTTGTACTGCGTCAAGTAATGGAAGAAAAGATCACTGAGATTAACGTTGAGGTTGGTGTTGCGAAGGACACCACTTTCAAGACGTATTATGTCTACCATTTTACTATCGTGATGGGTCTCTCTTTAGGCTCTCCGTTGCTGAGGTTCAGAGCATCATCGACAGGTTGCCGGCTCCAACGGTAACGTGTAATGAGAAATCGAAATTGATGATTTGTGTGCTACTCAGGTCCCAACATTGCTCTCGGCCACGACAGGATCGGCCTAAACTAAACACTCGATCGGTCCTTGTGGTTTCGATTATGGTTCATTGTGTTGAGTTGGTGGAGTCACTAGAGTGTGTTCACATTGGAAAGGCAGTCATGAAAAATGACATAACTCGGGATTCTACGAGCGAATGATAATGAGTGTTTACATGAACGACGCGGGTTGACTCCATCTGGGAACAAATCTCAGCACGAGATGTGTTAAAACGTCCGGTTCGTTGTGAAAAAGACGGGGATAACTTTTGGGTCGTTATTGCCCGGCTATAGACCGTTCAACACCAAAACCTTTACGATCGTTCGGTAACCGTTAACTGGTGAATGTGTTCCGTGTTTGAAGTTATCTACTACGTAAGCGTCGCTGAATATTAGGAAGGAACTAGCTATGATGGGGCCAACTCAGTTGCTCGTATTTCACTCGCGATGAGAAAACCTCATGCGTAGCACACAATTAGGGACAGGTACTAAACGACTGATAAATGGTTTCTGTAGATTTTTGTGTTGAAGGTCAAGTAAGAGTATACAAATCGATTCCTTGTACGAAAGTGATACCTTCATATCCATGTGACAGATGCTGAAGTTAGCTACTTTCGAGGAGGCAATTTTTTGTAACTAACACAAGGAGGTTGGAAAGTTTGACGAAACTTATAGTAGACTGTCAAAAGCTGAGGTGTAGCATACGGTAGGTTAGTGGTCAGCAATGATATAATGTAGTCTGAGGAAACCAACCCAAAACTAAGTCGATCGACTCACTGCGTCTGATTGATACTATATCAAGGGAAGGGTTGGGAAAGGCGAATTTAAAGTTGAAATTGCTCAAGTCGGAGCTCGTGTTGACATTGGTGATGATGATAGTCGTACCAGCATCATTGGCCTTGTATTTGAGGTCGCGAACGGGGTCTCCCATAACAGGAATATGAAAAGACATATCACCGTTGGCAGCTAGTGTTACGTTTATAGTAGAAGGTGTTGGGCTCTCAATAGTCCCACAGAAAGTTTGTAGGGTAGGAGTAGCAGTTGGACTCGTTGGTGCCGTGGTGGTGGTAGTAGTTGTTGTGCTGCATCCTATAAGAAGAGTTAGAGCAGAGGTGATCACGAGAGCCGGGAAGAGGGTACTTCGAGCCATGATGGTATGGATGGAGATTACACTGTGGAAAATGGAGTCTACTCAACAGGAACACTATTGTGCAACGATGAACTTGTGATGTACGCGTGACATACGTTACACATCATTACACTGTAGTTCCATACAGGGCTATTGTCACGAGTTGTACGAAGAGCTTCGCGGTCGGGTGTACCATATGGGTACGTCAGATGTGATTTTAATGAGGCATGGTAGAGTTGAGGAAATACAAGCTTTAATGAGATTGCAAGATTTGTCTGATCTGGAAGATCTATTGTTGTTGAAACCTATGATGAATTCGTCTGCAGTTGGCAGAGGTGCTCTGCGTAGGTGACTATAGAATGAGACCAGTACTGTGCGATGACGGCATGGGAGTAACTGCTGCTACTGCTAGCTTTGTTGTTGCTGTTTTTATACTTGCTTTTTTCTCTTCTTCTTCTTCCTGGGGTATCGTATAGACTCTCATGTTGGACGACTCTCGGATGAAGCGAGCCATAGAGCTTGCTCATCAGGCTACTGCCTTGGATCGGGAGGGGAAGTAGGTTCGGTGTCATGTGCGCACAGCCAAGGTTTTTGTGAGGATATCTTTTGCTGTTTTTTGTGGAAGGTACCAAGAGGCGCTTGATATGTACACTCTAAGCCTGGATAATTGGATGCTCATTTACAAATGTAATGTCCTGGGGTTCGATCGCGAGTCCTCTCGATAGTGAGGTTGACGGTCTATCTGAATGAGCTACCGAGTCTTGTTGAATTAGATGAAGTGAACCCGGCTCTGAAGGCCCGTTTATCTACGAAGATCTCCGAGTACATGAATCGCGCTGAGCAAATCAAGAAGTACCGTCTCCGTCCGAACCTTCGTCAAATTGAATCCCACTACAGGTACCTCGAGCGCATGCAGTTACCATCGACAGCTCCCCAACCGGGTGATGGAGGTGTGAGACTTACCCTGGAAGAATGCGTTATGGTAATCACATCAGGTACTGCGGAAATGATGAGGCCATCTGATAGTGAGGATGACAGTAAAGGGCAGGGCGACCAACAACAGGGTAAGAGCAATCCCGAGATGGATAAGATGAAGAAGGCTCTAGAAGGTAGTAGTTATGTAGTTGCTATCATCATTGTGAAATTCTCTAAGTGCAGGAGCTATCATCACCGAGAAGCCCAATGTTCATTGGAGTGACGTAGCCGGTTTGGATCAGGCTAAGGCTAGTCTACAGGAGACTGTCATTTTACCTACTAAATTTCCACAGCTTTTCACCGGAAAACGCAAGCCCTGGAAGGTATACCTCGTGTTGGACTGGTGAGTGGATCTGTATGTCGTCAGGGTATACTGCTTTATGGTCCTCCTGGAACTGGTAAATCATATTTGGCTAAGGCGTGCGCTACTGAGGCTGACGCCACTTTCTTCAGCGTATCGAGTTCAGGTATAGAGGGAGTCATGTAGCTTGGTCGCGTAAGTTCACTCAGATTTGGTATCGAAATGGATGGGCGAATCGGAGAAGTTGGTGAGATCCCTTTTCGAGATGGCGCGGGCCGAAAAATCCGCCATTATTTTCATCGATGAGGTCTGGAAGTCTTTTCAAGATGTGGATGGATGAAAATATTTTAGGTCGACTCTCTGTGTGGATCGCGGGACTCGGGAGAAAGCGACGCGACTCGGAGAATTAAAACGGAGTTTTTGGTGCAAATGCAAGTAAGGTTATACAACAAAGGAATTGTTCTGTTATGACCTTCGATAGGGAGTGGGCAGTGATAATGGTGGGCAAGTGTTGGTGTTGGGCGCAACGAACTGTCCTTGGGACCTAGATGCTGCGATAAGAAGAAGGTGTGGTATGGTGTATTCGGCGTACTGGTATATTATATGCTTAGGTTTGAGCGAAGGATTTATATACCACTGCCAGAAGTGCAGGCCAGAATAAGAATGTTCGAGCTCAGTATCGGGGATACGCCGCACGAGCTGACCAGAAGGGACATATCGAAATTAGCTCAGGAGTAGTACGAGGAGCTCATTTTGTGGTATAGTAAAAAGTATTTCATCTAAATGTGGAGGATTTGTAAACGTTCTTTCTCGTTAACTACGAAGTGTTTCAAGTTGAGACTTTGCCACCGAGCGCGAAATACCATGAAAAACTGACAGCCGAAATTTTACGTATTGGCGTAGTGGCGGAAAATATTTCTTCTGGCAAGGAACACAACAGGTTAGTCAGATGTTTTCGAATGTTTAATGCTAAATTTTGAAGTGGAATTAGATTGATATTTACACTGGCTCGTGAATGGTACTGCTCTTAATGTTAGAACGGATGGATTCTCGGGCGCCGATATCAGCGTATTGGTTCGCGATGCTCTAATGCAGCCAGTGAGAAGGTGTAGCCAAGCAACTCACTTTAAGAGGGTCATTAAAGATGGAAAAAAGTATTACTTGCCGTTGGTGATTTTTGTTCTGATGTGATTGTACGTCTTCAGATTTTGGACACCATGCAGTCCGGGCGATCCAGATAGGACCACACAAGAGATGAGTTTGATGGATATCGGCAGTTCTGAATTGCTCCCACCTAAAGTAGTCGAGGTGTGGTATGAGGTTTTTGGTTATATATTATTTGATCAGGTCTCCAGAGTGGACTTCCAAGTAGCTCTTTCTAACGCGCGTCCATCGGTCGGATCTGAGGATCTGGCCAGACAAGAGGAGTGGACGGCTCAATACGGCATGGAAGGTTAACTGTAGCTGCAGCTTGTGATCGAAGGGAAGGGCATTTTGTATTTTTGGAGATATACATTAGAATAGTATTATAACATTACGGTGGGCTGTGATAGTTACCCCAACGTACTCCCATTTTTCATTCAAGGTCGCTCGTGTTGTGTAGAGTCGAATTATTACACCTTTGTGGTAGCTTTTATGAACAGACTAATATCGATGGTGACAGGAATGGGTCGGCCGTCGCATTTGCCTCGTAGACAGCCGTTTAACCTCAGCTGGCTGGCGGAGTCTCCTGAGAAGCTGCGCAATTTGATAGGTGAGCTCTTGCTGTATTGGGTGGACCTGATGTAGGGTGTATTCAGGTGTGTTGCATCGGAGGAAAGGAGAACTGCGTCGCTTGACGGAGAACGAGGGAGTTTATAAAGAAGTATATGCTAGCATGGACGTCATGATGGCCGAGGACTTTGGCATTGATGTTGGTGAAGGTATTAATGTGAGCCGGTATATAGACAACTTAATCGAACACGTATCGAAATTTGATATGCACATGCAAGGAAATGTGCGTTATTTATCCAAGATCATTGAGAATTGATCTGAAACTTTATCGCATTAAGATTGCGATGAACATGTGATGTGATAATAGTGACCACCGGAGACTATGATAGCGACAAGTTGTTCACTATTATTAATCCCGGACTAGATAATGTACATTCTTCGCATTTATATATCAAATTGGCATGTATGACACACGCTTGAGAAGTGTGAAATGTATTTGGAAATGCTAGGGAATGTAGGGAAGAGGAGATTTGGTATTAGTCTGTACACGGCATGGGTAGTAATTTTGGTTTTATTTATTTCCTCAGATATCCCGGAATGGGCTCGTGATGGTGATATATTTTATCAGTCGATCATAGACATACCGGACTTTTGTCTCTGTGCGTTTATGCTCATGCCGAAGGCAACTCTGCCCTATCATGGTGTGTAGGGGAGAGTATATGGTGGAGAATTAATAGTAGTGTGTTAGATCACCCGCATCAACATGTGGTCAGTCGGGTGGTGTCGGGCACACTCACGGCGGATGTTTTCAATCCGATCGCACCATACCGGTCCCTAGTTGGACAGGTAAGCGTCTGGTGATGAGTATTGGAGGTTCACCCCTTGAGTAGGTATTTGCAGTGAAACCGGTAGTTGAGCTCAATGGAGAGCATAAACAGGGCACCACTATGTTCCTTAATCCTGCATATGCCAATGTAGTACAACGCTGTGGAAGATCAGCATATCTTTCTAGTGTGGAAAAATATGTACTTGGTCAACTAACATGAAAAAACTCTGAGGAAAGTCTGGGAGATTTTCGTTGGTTTATGTACATTCCTATTCTAAGTGGTGTAAACTTCTGTAGTTAGTGAGGAAGCTCCTGAGCTCAGCTGAGGAAAGCCAACATATATTCCAATTCTGCATTTTTCATGTCGGCCGTGATATTTCATACGTAGATACTTTTTATGGAAGACCAGCGTATAGTAGATGGTGATGTCAGATACACAGTTTTGTTAACTTGACCAACGAGCCCTGTGTATTCGTGGATTTGATAATGCCTCCATACGGCAATAACGTGTCTACTCCAGCAGAACCCTTCATATCGTAATAATAATTTCGTGGCGCGCGGTCATGACTTATGTGTGAAGTTACTTCGAGAGACGCTCTATGAGTGATGATGGTGAACAAGAGTTGGTCGTGATTGACGAACCCGAGGATTTCGCGACGGTGAATATTCCATCGAGGCTTCACGTTACCTGCTCATAATGTTACTGTATATGCTGTGATAATTATTGCTACTAAAATCGACTTGTTTCTTCCGATCGATGAAGTATTGAGTTCAGTACGAGGGGACCATTCGGGGTGGAGAAGCGAAGAATCGTCCCGTGAGTACATTCGCGGGGTGAGGAACTGAGCCTCTCTGCCTCAGTTTTGTGGCGGCTCGTTAACATCGACATTGTGCCAACGTTGAGTAAGGACAGTATTATCTTTATCAGACAGTACCTGGGTTCGTATCTTGATCAGCTCTGTGATTCCTCGCGCATTGTCGTATGAGGGTCCGAAATAGCAGCGCAAGTTAATGGGAACAGGTTGCCTTCCACATTGTATCAACGTTGAGTAAGGACAGCGTTATGTTATCAGACAGTATCTGTGTGCGTGTTCTGAACAACCTTGTGTTCTCTCCCGCACTTTTTATTCCAGATTTTCTTCCAAACGGAGAATTTAAAAATTTTCGGTTGGGAATAGCAGCTTCCTTCAATCTGTTTTGCGTGCGCCTTTCCTATGTAAATACGTAAAGAATTGAATCCTTGGTGAATATTCATATAATGGCGATCGGAAGTTAGATATTGTCGACCAACCTCTTTCGGAACTCCTATAATGTTGGAAAATCATATGAATATTCGCCGAATTCGATGGGAAATCATTTTTATGCATTTGCATAAGAAAACCGCACGCATAGTACATCCATGTGGGAAGAGATGTAATGATGCTGGTGAAATCACAACACGAAGGAAGAGGTCATTTGTTAGTGAATAGTAACTTCAAGTAACACAACCCTCCATCTCGCCACAACTTATTCGCAACAACAATATTATGCCTAGTTGTAGCCCGATCGCACGCTAGCTGTACTGGGCGTGAAGCCTCTGACGTATACTCTCGGGGCTCTACCAGCGGCGGATGAACTCGGAGGACTTATTTCTACTTCAACTTGATCTGAAGACAATACATAATCCTATAGCAATGATGATACTGTAACGTACCGGCTATGTCAGTCGGGAAAACTCCATCGTCGTGAACAGGAGCGGCTGGTCGTATCTGTGGTATTACTATATTCCGCAGCGATAAGGCGCTTACCATATCCTCAACCGTAAGAGGTTTACATAGGCTATCGGAAATGTCAGCTGTCCTGGTCTTCTGAGATTACCAAAGTGACTATGCTGTGATACGGCGCAAAAGTACTTTTCCTATCGACCTCGATGAGAACTGTGATGGTTCACGTGCCAACAACACAAGTCGGCCCCCTTGAATGGCCAATCGGGCAGCCAGTCTTGAGTAATCACCAGCGACTTGATGATACCTGTCCCCAACTACCACTAATTTCAGTGAAGCTGTACCCTACAGTCTGCGATGACTTCTCTCGTTTATAACCAGCTCGAGAGCTTTCTGGCGCTGTCCATCATAAGCCGATATAGTTAGCAATCGACCGTTAGTTATCATCTCTACAAGGTAGTACCTGTCCATACCGTAATTCCTCCAACTCATGCATATAATACCCCTACCCAGCGCCAAGCTGCCGACCCTCTTTGAAGACGGATCTCATCTCACTGCCACCGCCAGAGCGGCCCGATAAGGACAGGCTCGCACCACTCTGCATCACACTATCATATTCCCCAACCCTCCGAGGGCTGTCCAACACGAACGGCAGGTCGCAGCAGTTTCTCAAATAGGAACGGTTTTGTCGGAAACTCTGTTCCCATTCAACATGACTATACTGGGGCTGAGCATTCTGTATTCGCTTGAGGATCCCCCGGTTTTCCTAATGAGACAAAACTAAGGCCCTCCTCTTCGAGTTGAATGCTACTACCCTTGTTATTCGCATCAGTTCTAGCTGCCTCGCATGCTTGTTCAGACTGGCCGGCCCGGGCTGGTTCACCTGAGAGAAAATTGTGAACGTGACGACTTGGAGGCTCTGATACCCCCGTGGGTCGAGCGGTACGCATCGTTGCTGATGGATGACGCATTATGTCGGACATTTTCTGAAAGGATAAACTCAACGTTGCATTTTATGTTTCACACACACCTGCAATAATATGCGGTTCTCTCTGTCGATCTCAAAATATCTGAAGTTGGTGACGGTCATATATGGAATACTCCCCGCACTACCTCTCCTCGAGGAGTTGTTCTCGTTTGGCATTAACCTTGACGTGCCCTAAATGGCATACCTCGGGCTCCCGAGTGTCGATGGCTGACCTATAATGGAGTATACGTAACCGAAATTTATACAATCTCGAACGTAGGATGCACTCAGTGCGTATCTCAGGTTAAACCATAGTATTGGCAGTACCGCATTTCCTTCAACTTCCGTTTGTGTATATCCTTGTTCCTCTTATCAGCCTTCCGGGCGCATATCTTATTGCAGACGGGGAGACTTCTATACATTATACAATGGGCAACCGTCGCCCCATAGCAGACTGAAGTCTCGTCAATCTTGCTCACTTGTCATCACTTGCATCTCCTCAACGGTTTCAGCGCTTCTAGTATAACCATTGAAGTGCTACGTTTCGTCAGTTCAGTTCCTAATATGAATGCTTTCGTCATAATAGGTGGAGTCCTTGGTGTACTGCTACTTTCGATGAGCTGGTAATATGCGAGACGCCTATTCAACGGGGTTTACTTCAATCCGACATCCGTCTCCTTCTGGAGAGTGCTTTGGTCTGAGATTCGTCACGTGTTTATTGTTCAGGACTAAGGTGCTCCTTATATGCCTCGGTATTGTTGCTATCTTGCTGGCAATACTGGTAGCATCTCAAGAGAAAATGCTATATGTAAGATGGTGCTCATGGGCTACGATTTTCGACACTATCAATGATTGTGATTATTTTCATTATCCACATAGTTCACATTGACCGTAGTGGTTGAACCTTGCTAGGGTCATCTGGAGGATTTTCGGGCTGTTCTGTTCGTGATGGGATTACTCTTGCTCAGATGCCCGAGGTCCAGGGGTTCACCACTGTCGGTTCCAATCCGCCAGGTGAGTTGAAATCACTCAGTTTTAGTTCCTTTCTTGTGCCAGAAGTTGTCAGTACGGAAACGCAGGTATGCGCTCTCCTGCCGAACTCGACATGAAATTCGAGAATATCAAAGTGGCAACTGCTGATGGTCAGAGTATTCATGCTTGGTTCATTCATGTACGATGTTGCTCATAAAAGTTCTGAATCGCTATTTTAGCTTTCCGTCAGGCCATTGGAGTTGCTGATTCGTCAGTGGCACCAACAATCGTATTCTGCCATGCTAACGCTGGGAATATGGGTTTAAGAATGCCCAACTACAGGCAGCTAGCTTCGGTAGTGTGGCGGCTCGGAGGTTTCTGAAAAGATGGTATTTCGATAATTTTCAAGTGGATTTTTAGCCGTGATGACATGCATTAGAATAAGTATTTTTCTATAGTTGATCGTTGTAACTGTGTCAGTTTGTGAAAGCCGATGTTCTCGCATTCGACTACAGAGGCTTTGGCGAGAGTACGGGCAAGCCAAGTGAAGAGGGTGAGCATTGTGACACCTGGAAATTGGCTCATGTCATCTGAGTGGCCTGTCGCGGAGTATTACAGGTGCTTGCCTCAGGTATCATGCTCGATCTGGACGCGCTGTTCCAGTGGATACAGAATAACCAACAGCTGGTCGATCCTGAAAATATATTTTTGTTTGGTCGATCGCTCGGTACGTCCACTCAGGAAATTTGAGATGCCTCCATGTTGTTCAGTAAACTTCGGCTTTGGCTCGGAGTCGCATAAGATTGGTCGTGTGGATCTCACACGCTTTAGAGATAACTGACTCACACTATCTCTCAGGTGGCGCAGTCGCAGCAGAGTATGCTGCTAAGTTAGTGGCTGAGGGTCATCCACCTAGGGGTAAGAGCTCTCGGCTTTACACTGTAATATTTTGTCGTGACAGGTGTTATATTGGAGAATACATTCCTCTCTATATCGCTCATGGTGAACTCGTTGTTCCCTTTCTTGCGATTTGACTGGGTCAAGAAGCCTTTCTTGAGGCTTAGATGGGAGACTTACAAGCACGTTGAGAAACTTGGAAAGAAGTAGGTATTTCAACGACCCGAACGTTGGCGGATCTGAAGTGCTTTCAAATTATTCCTGATCCAGGGATACTGGACCCTTTATTGTAGTCTGCATTATCGGCTCTTTCACCACTCCATGGGCGATTTCGAGCGTCATGTCTGCGTATGACATGCAACATGTCCTGAGGTTTCGCCCAGTGCGTGGGTGTGTGCTTCACGCTCGGTAGCGGGCCATGCACATAATCAATGTATTTGTACGGTGGTGCCTGGGCCCGAGTATCGAACTCCGAGACATGAGGTGCAACTCGAACGCGAGTCGCGGGGGCAGAGTTCTATTCACGGACTCATTGTTAGTACTAACTGACGCCAACGATCCCTCAAAACACCGGTCCGGGACGTGGTACTTAGGAGCTTCTGGCTCGTATGCAGGGTGACGGCAATGCCGAGTCGGCGTTGACGAAAGCGGTTGTTGAATAACCTCATCAATGCATGATTAACTCAATTGCTACTGAAGTTGAAGATCCACCTGGTAATAAGACTCGTCCATCATCTACGGAGTCTGAAGATCACGCTGCGGTGCCATTTGCTCATCCTTGCGGCAGAATTATCTCTTGCACTGAGATGCTGTGGAATCTGTGTGGCTTCTCTTACGTCAACTCAAATGAGTCGTTCCTGCATATCAACAGCACTCCTTGGTGTGAACAGCCAGCAATTAGCAATGGTCTCCCACTAGTCTGGACCCATCAATATATAGACAACGGATGAACATGATATCGTCCAAGACCCCCGGATAATATTTCAGACTCCATCCACTTGAGCGAGAGATTCGACAATTTGAAACGAGGGGAGCTGGCTATCAACCAGCAACAGAGCACACTCCCACTGTTGTTTACACGTGGCCTCGGGGAAAAATCGGATACGCAGTGGCTAGGTACATCTAGGCTAGATGCAAGCTATACAATTGCCACGTGCCCTATTGGTAGCTCGATCGACTCCGAGAGCTAAAATGGCTGTGGGCCTGGAAGCCTTGGAGAGTTTACTCGAGAGACTAGTCCGACGCTGGTCTAGTGTATATTCTGCGTTGCTATACGTGTATCTATCAGTACTTGGATGCATTTATTTGTCGACTTGCGTCATGAAAGGAGCTCACAGAAATCTGTGATTTAATTTGAGGCTCTACCAAGTTATGATAGACTTCAATGGACGAAATTTATCTGACATCAATGATGTTAGCCCATTATGACCGCTATCGAGTGGCTTCTTTTCAGGACATCCGTTTTGCTTCTTTCGGCAGCCGACGATGAAATAGTAAGATCTCGATACATCATGTTTATTGGTTTCGGGTTAATTATCGACGAATTATTATATCCGATTCATGGCGTCTCTCACAGTTGAAAGACATTCCACTGATAAGACTATTCCTCCAGGTACCTCCGTCTCATATGACTAAATTGCATGACATTTGTAACGACAATGGAATGGAATGTGTCTTCGAAAGATTCGAGAACGCTACTCATAACGATACGTGGCAAAAGGGAGGCCGAAGGTAGGACAAGTGCACGCACTTGGCACGATTAACATGGCTGAATCGGATCGATTGCGATTTCATTACGTTCTGTGAGGTGGTTTCAAGCTGGCAGCTCATACTGATTGAAAGTTTTCAGTGCTTCATGCTTGACGAATCGAGTCTAACCTGTACAGACTCGATTGGAGCTGATGAGCGAGTCAGTTGCTTAGGCTTGTTGAATCGTCCTGCATAGATCGGTGGATTGTGGGTATGCTTTGCAGGTACTTGGAAGTTTTGAGGAAGTTCGTGAACGACCGCAAGCTCGCTCCGATGCCTAAGATCGTTGAAGTCGGGTAAATGTGAGATCCACCGTTTACTATTCTGCTACTGTTCATTGAAGACTTGTGTTCATTGCTTAGTTTCATTCTGTCTTGAATGGCTTCGTGTTTCAAGCGCAGTATTTGCCGTTTTTCCTCGTAGAATTTATCATAGATACTTCGGCTGTGACGATGCTCGTTCCGACTTGAAAAGTAAAAAACAAGAACTTTTAGTAGCAGTTGTTCACCGAGGGATTCCTCCTCTGATCAGTTGATCAGTCGTCTTATTTTTATTCTGTTTGATGTCTGAAGGGAAAAGAAAGGTGAAGGTGGAAATCAAGTACGCCCGAGATCTGTATGACACTGAGATGTTCGGCAAGATGGATCCGTAGGATGACGCAGTCGTTACGCAGAGGAATACGCTTGTACGCATGTCAGATATGTCAAGGTTAGACTCGGTCGGGGGAAGAAGTATAAGACTGATGTAGGTTTGCTACTCGAATGGTGGCGGGTTGAATGGTTGGTGTGGTAGGTTAAAAAGGATGTTGGAAGGAACCCGACATTCTACGAGTCGACAGAGTTCAAGTACAATGATGAACCAGAAATATCATTCGAAGTGTGGGATAAGGATACTTTCAGCTCGGACGATTTCGTAAGGAATGATGCTGATGGAATCCACATGGCCTGGACCGTCCGTTGTGTAGGTTGGATCAGCACGGGTGAGCATGGCGTCCATTGCTAAGCATGGACATTGGGAAGGTGACCTCGTGTTGTAATATTTCTGCATTGTTATTGCTACTAGCGTAACGGGTTTCTGTAGGTATCGAGATGGAGCGCATAAGGCCGGTACACTCAACGTTGCGATTAAGATGAAGACTAAGGATAGTAGCACGATAGCAGCTACTGCGAGTCCTGCACCAACAGTAGTCGCACATGCTACAGCGGTACCAGTATCATCTAGCCAACAGCAACCTGTGATGGCAACGGTTGTGCCAAGCTCATACGGTGTAAGCCAGGCCTGTCGAGAGGATTCCTGACATGGACGGTCTCATCTCAGGTTTCCCAGCCTGTAGTAGCGACAGCAGTACCAGCAACGGCCTATGCACAAGGTGGGATGGCGCCGTCAGCTGTAGTCAATGCTACAGTCATTAGTACAGCCCCAGCGGGAAGTAGTGCCATGCGAGGGCCGATGGTGAGTTCGATCACAGAGTAGGAAGCGTTGGTATCGTACTTGTACTTGTCAGATCCAAGGTAGGGTCATAGGCACGGGCAGTGCCTCAGGCCAGGCTCAGCAGTCTACAGGGTATGGCAATAGCAACTATCAGGTGAATCCAAGTCCACGCTGGTGCGAATGGTGATATTGGTATTGTACTCAGGCCCCTCCTCCTCCCCCTTCTGGCTCTGGTGGTCAGCCTCTTGTGCAAGTTCAAGCAGGAGCACCTCAGCAACAGCAACAGTACAATTATGGGCAACAGTTCCCCGCTGGAGCGCCGTCGGCTCCCCCTGCTGGCCCTGGATACAGCAGTGCTAATTTTGTAACCAACAACTATCAAGTAAGTGTCGCTTATGGGGTGCCTTGTCAATGCCGTTTTCTCAGTCTCCACCAGGACCTGATGGTCAACCTGCGGTCTATGTTCAACCTGGACAGCAGTTGAGTGGAGGAGTATATCCTCGTTACTGATCCTATAAGTGAAGTCACTTGATAACACACTAATGTTTATTGTCCATTGTGAACTCACAGTTGCCTTGTGTTGTTCGATCTGCTTAGATTGTGTGCTAGCGTTAGTATAAATTTCAGTTTACTTAGGAAGAATGTACACATGGTCAACTACGTGTTTTGATGACAACACGGATATTCTGAGGGAGTTCTTGTCGGCTTTTATACGGTAGAAGTTCCACTATATGTAACTTTTGGTGAGGAAACGTGTGAGCTCAGCTGATGAAAGCAAGTATATACTTCAAAAATTTTCTCAGATTTGTTGCAATTCAGCTCTGTTCGTAGTTTTTCATGTCGTACCAATACAACGCCGTGAGGGTCGAGGTGCGTCACGCCCGTAATCTTCATGATACGGAAGTCTTTGGGAAGATGGACCCGTGAGGAGTCGATCGTAGTTGGTCATCGTCCTCACTTGGTATAGTAGGTACTGTGTAGTAATGCTCGGCCCAGGGAAGAAATTTAAGACCAGGGTGCTGCTACTACTACTCCCTGTTGGGAGGATGATGAAGTGATGCAGGTTCAGAAGGACGTAGGATCGAACCCTACTTGGAACGAGACGGCCATACTGCAGTACAGTATGGAGCCGGAGATGACCTTTAAAGTGATGGATAAGGAAAGCATTAAGGATGATGATTTTGTAAGGGGGATGGTGGCATTTCGCGACTGGCACGTTCTAGAGGGGACCATGTGAGATGTACTTCGCTCTTGGCTGCAGGTAGGCTCGGCTACGGTGAGTATGGCGGCCGTCGCTTCCAGTGGTCGATGGTCTGGGGATCTCGCATTGTAAGTTGGGGGAAGTGTGGTAACACGTGTTGGTGACAATTGTGGAAATCCTGAGGGAATTTTTGTTGGTTTCTGTACGAGAATTCGTATAGGAAAATCTCAGGGTGAACCGAGTGAAACGAACATATATTGCAACACTGGTCACGGGTGTAGCCTACCGCTCCCTCTCCAACTTTCGGGTCAGCAGTTCCACCACAGGTACCGCAGTAAGAGTAAACCAGCAGGATCACTTACAGTATCGATTACTATGCTGCCTGAAGTATCGCCACCGATGATGGTAACTACCGACCAAACCGGTTCGCGTATAATCGTTCATCTTAGGGTGGTGCTCCTCCAGTAGTGACAGCGACGGTTATGGGTACCGCTCCTCCGCCTCCACCCATGATGATGCAACAGCAGCCGGTAAGACACGGTGTGTTGTTGTGAGCTTCTGATGTGCTGGTCATAGGTTCCGGGTACTATGATCGCTCCTGGAGCCCCACCAGCACCGTATGGAGGAGGATATGGGGTGAGTGGTCGAGATTAATCTGTGTGCATGTGTGTACTATTATTAAGGCTTATATAAGTGGTCGCTAAGCGTTGATAATGGTGTGGTATGAATCAGATGATATATTCCATCAATTTGGACACTTTATCTCCTCCGAATACTTCCCCAGATATTAGAATCAGTTGTGTAATAGTATGTAGTCATGAACTAAGCTATCCGTCGGATGCCGCTATTCGTGCGATGGATGGTATGACATCTTTTATTGTTAGGCGCCCGCCCCTCCACCTTATCAACAACCCGCGCCCTATGGGTATCAGGCCCAACAGGGCTATACTGCGGGCGGAGCAGTTCCTATGGCAGCAGGACCATATGGTGGTCAGCAGTACCAGCAGCAGATGTACGGGAATCAGCCAGTCGGTGCTCCTATGGTAGGATAATGTTCTTGTGATGCTTGTTGTGTATGTGTTGGTTTATAGTATCACGACCACGACAAGAAGAAGAAAAAGAAGGATAAAAAGCATAAGAAGGATAAGAAGCATAAGAGGAGCGGTTATAGTAGTAGCAGCAGTAGCAGTAGCAGTGACTGAGTAGATTTGTTCCAAGAAGAGTGGTATCAGCTTTTAATTTGAGACGATGAAAATGGCTGCTGCATATTTACACTAAGAATCAATCACAATTTTTTATACAAGCGTGTTGTGCTATGTATCATGCACGATGTTTCGTTTTAGTATGTGCGAAATAGACGCTTATTCGTTCTAGCGGGCGCTCTGAATAGTGGGAATATGATCATTCGATGCGGCCTGCATTGTGAGTATCGAGATTTATATGGTTTTTCGGTTGGAGCGCCAGGAGTGGGGTTTAAATTTCCCGGAGGATTGCCAAATGGTGGAATTATGGTTTGGCTCGCCCCGGTGGTAAGTTTGGGACAGTGGAAGGATGTATTCCGAATAAGATGAGGGAATTGTGGTAAGGGGCATAAGACCGCTGGGGAGGGGTTAATGATCTCCTTCAGCTCGTATCAATCGCTCGACTATGACCATACACTTTGTTGCATTACTCCCAAGGCTCGCTTTAGTGTTTTATCAAGGAAATATTGTCGCTCTCAGCGAGGGGGAAATCGTTGGTATCCACACTGGCAATATAGTAGGGATGGGAAGTCGCTGGAAGTAACCCTTTTTATGAGGGCCTTGGACTGACAGTATGGGTCCTCTCACGTAACCTCTGGTCGATATCGACTGTTACTAACCTATGGAATTTCAACTGAATTCTATTGAGTGTCTCGATTTGACATGCTTCTGGTGCTACTGTTACTACTTGGTTTTCTGGGTGGGAATTACTCGCAATACAATTATTTTTGGACCTGCATTACTCTGAAGAGTCAAAGGCCTGCAGTATTTGAGTATCCCATATGGAGCCCTTGGCAGACCCACTGCATGACCGCAGAGTTCGTACCGTAACTCCGCCACCTCGTGCGGTAGGTGGAGGGAACTAACACGGCTCGGCAGGCTTGTGATGTTTTTACTCAGCCGTTAACGCCGGAATTACTCTTCCCTAAAGGTGAAGCATCGCCACCGGACTGGCAGTGTCTCAGGAAGCATCTGGTGAGGTCAATATAGCATTGACTGTAGTTATGGTCAGTTTTAGTTCGCGGAGGGTAGACTGTATATAGAGTCAATCACGAGGATCGTGAATGAACTTATACGGCTGTGTACGGCAGAGCCTAATGTTGTCAAAGTGAAGGACCCGGTCACAGTAGTAGGAGATATACATGGACAGTAGCAGTGCAAAGGAGTTGGTGATTCTGGCCTGTAGTAGAATGGTAGGTACTATGACCTTATCAAGTTACTGGAAGTGGGGGGAGATCCAGCCACAACTCAGTACGCCCGGGAGGGTTTATGCAACTTTTACGTGTACATTAGATATCTCTTCCTCGGAGACTATGTTGACAGAGGCAGCTACAGTGTAGAAGTACTACTACTTTTGTAATAGGGTCTCATGTCGGCTCACTTGACTTGCCCATGGTAATCAGATATGCGTTGAAGATCAACTACCCCAAGACTATAACGTTACTACGAGGAAATCACGAGTGTAGGCAAATGACTGCTTTTTTTAATTTCCGAGACGAATGCGAGTAAGACTTTGTTCAGTCGAATCTTCCACTGAGAATCCCCGTTGGGTGTAGGTACAAGTACAACCTAACTGTGTACGAGCTTTTTATGGAGTCGTTCGACTGTCTGCCGCTGGCCGCTGTCGTTAACGGTAGTTCTCTCAGGCCGGGTCGAAGCTATTGTATTGTTTAGGGAAGTTCCTGTGTATTCACGGCGGTTTGTCTCCTGAGCTCAACACACTCGCTGACTTCAACAAAATTAACCGATTTCAAGAACCTCCGAGACAAGGCCTTTTCTGGTGAGTTCAGCGGCGGTGGTGGTTGTTGCCTCTGCTGGCTTTGATGAGCTGTGGTTTAGTGACATACTCTGGAGTGACCCTGAGGAGGAGAAGGAGGGTGTTGCGGTGTTCAAGTCGAAGGATAGGACCTTTGTCCCCAACGATGTAAGTCATGGGTGTTTTCGACATTGTTAAGCTGGGCTACAGGTACGCGGCTGTAGCTTTCTCTATACGTATGAAGCTGCAACGAATTTCTTGAAGAAGAATTCGTAGGATGGTCGGGTGTCAGGGCTTCCTTTCGGACAACCCGGGTTCTATTCTTGGTATAGGTTATTGTCGGTTATTCGAGCCCATGAAGCTCAGCTGGAGGGATATAAAATGCACAGTAGGACAACTAAAGTGTCGTGATGTTTATAATCTACCTGCGTCGCGAAATGTTCGAACGAAAAGACTATTCACCCCCTCTCTATCGGGGTTTTTCCATCCTTGTGAGCTACTGATGAGAAACCCAAGAGCAGTGGGCTGATCGATATTTGAACCTTAGCACTGTATTAGATGGAATTGACGATCATTGAAATTGCTCATTGAATGGTATGAAGTGTAGAATATAACGTCCAACTCCGGCTAGGATAACATTGAAAGCTCCTTGGTGTGCATTCAGGAACTAACGAGGCCACCGGCTTTCCCTCGGTCATCACCATTTTCTCGGCACCTAATTACTGTGATGTGTATAATAACAAGGTGATAAACAGCCGATTTGAAAACACTTCCGTGGGCATGCGTGTCTTCTTAGGGCGCGGTTTTGAGATTTGAGAACAACACGTTGAACATTTTACAGTTCAATTTTTCCAAGCATCCGTAAGTGGTCGTCGAACTTGAGGTTGATATTACGGATTCCTACAGGTACCACTTGCCCAACTTTATGGACGTCTTTGCGTGGTCAATGCCTTTTGTCGCAGAGAAAATTACGGAGATGTTATTTTACGTATTAAATCCTCAGAATGAGTCTGGCAGTGTAGGTTTGTGAAATTTTATCACACTCGCTCGCTTGACGCGAAAATGTATTTTAGTACACCCGTGCTCCCGATGTTACCGATGAAGATCTCCCACAGCTTCCCGAAGCCGATCTGAAACAGTTGAAATTGGCCCGTCTGTCGAGTTTGTCTGACGAACAGGTAGGGCCAATGCGAACGATGTGATGTGTTCATTGCAGTTCCTTTTCAGAATAAATCGGTATCACTTGCTGCCCGTTTGCATCAGCATATGATGGCCGAAGGGGCTAAGGTTATCGAGCAAAGTAGTAGTAGTTGCGGTAAAGGTAGTTGGTGGGCAGTTGTTGGCAGTCTTGGAGGGGTTGTATGGGGCGGCACAGTACGGTGGTCCTCTCTCAGGTCGGGCAGCTGAGGCGGCGGGTGGTAAGGCGATATCGAAGGAGAAGGCCGATCGTATGAGGAAGAAGATTCAAACTGTAATAGGGAGTAACAGAGACTTTTTAACTAAGCGTAGTTGTTGGTTGTGGATTAGCAGTAGTCTGTTTACAACATTGATGATTATTGAACGCATATTTCCGAGCTTATGATGCATGTGTGTCAACAATGGCTTCAGGGCGAGGAAAAATGGTGTAGTAGATAGAATAGTAGCTGGTTTGGTAAATGAATAACGATATGACACGTGAAGTGGATGTAGTAGTTTAACGGCTTGTAGTATGCATACTGATGGTTTGAGACTGTCTGCCGTAATGTGGGATAGGTCTCGGGTTCGAATCCCAGGTCCGGTATTTTTCATGCCGGATCCGTACTTTGACGCTTCCCTTAGTATAGTCGTCAACTAGGCTCCCGACCAGGTCGCTTGCTGTTTTCAAACCCTTGGAATGATTCGACTTGCGATATATAGTCCCGCTCGCATCGCATAGTATTTATCTCCGCTATGAAAAATACCGGCTCCCGCTTATCCTTTATAGGTGAGTCGGATGATGCTTATGTTCAAGACCTTACGCGAGGAGAACGAGACCATCATCAACCTCAAAGGCGTTTGCCCTGGGCACAGGTGAGATCAGGAAATGCTCGAATTATGGTATGGGACCTCGTCAGGTTGGCACCTGGTCTGCTACTGTCGGGCCGCGATGCGCTGCAAAACGAGTTGGAGAAGTTCACGAAGGCTCGAGCCATGGATTTAGAAAATGAAAGAATGCCGACCGAGAAGGAGGTCGATAGCCAGCCCCATTTCCATCGTGGAATGTCATCATCATAGTGGAAAGGGTCTTGCCCACTTGGGGGTTCCTCTCGAGGGGTCATCGAAGCCCTCTCTTTAGCTCGTGTAGGATTATTAGCTGCATCATCATCATCATCATCATCATCATCATCATCATCATCGTCGTCGTTGTCTATGAATTCTAGTATGATATTGGAAGCGTTGGGCTCGTGTGGACTGTTCATATAATTGGTTTTGTAGTTCTGTTACGTTCGGTGTTGCGTTTTTGAGGTGGAGAGTGAGTTGTGGTATGGGGTCTTCCTGTAGGGAATAATGTCTTCTACGGTCGAGCCGACACTTGAGTATCTATTGCAAATATCGAGGCAAGCTGGGGACATCATTCGAGGCGCCTTCCACAGAGCAAAGCACGTCGATTGCAAGGTCTCGGCCGCTGACCTGGTAGGCTTGTGGAGCTGAGGTGGTTGGTGAATAGGCGGGCGAGTGGTAGGTTACAGAGACAGACGTCGCAGTAGAGAGGTTCCTCATTGGGGAGATCTCTAATAAGTTTCCAGAGTAAGTCGACACCGTCATGAGGTATCCACTGCCACCATCACCATGCATTAGGGATAAGTTCTTGGCTGAGGAATCGTCCAGGGAAGAGGATGAGCTTTCGTCTGATCCAACGTGGATCATCGACCCGATTGATGGTGAGCTTGATGATTTCGTATGTACTAGCGCTGACTGTCTCTGTAGGCACTACTAACTTCGTTTGTACTTTCCCCCAGTGTGCATCTTGTAAGTGATTGGTATCGGGAATGTTCGATATGGTAGTGGCCCTCAGCTATAGCTTATGCCGTTAATAAGGAGATCAAACTGGGGTGTGTGTTTAACCCAATCACTGATGAGGTGTTACGACTAGCCTATCTTGTTTTTGCCATTACTTGCGTCAGATGTGGTATGCGAGCCTCGGGGGTGGTGCATTTTACGTCCCTGCGAAAGGCTCGGAACCTGTCCGAATTCATACGTCTGGGAAGGCTAAGCTCGGAGACTGCCTCGTTAGTGAGGGAAGCCTTCTCTGGTCCTGTCGTACGACTCGAGCTCAGGCCTGGGTTTCAATGTACCACTTTTACGAAGCGACCAGAGCAATACTGAACGTGAGCACAGCTCTTCGTAGTAGTAAGAGCATTCTCCGAATAGGTGCGAGACGGATCGCTGATGTGGTATGCAGGAATCATCGATTCCTTATGTGAGGGTTCCGGTCGCCAACAGCTTCACTTCCCCACCAGGTACAATTCTCGAGACATTAGGAGGATCGGAAGTGCTGCTATTGACCTTTGCTATGTTGCTATGGGAAGGGAGGACTGGTAGTACCGCTAGAAGGCTCTCTATGTCCCTTCATGGTTGAGGTAGTTACTTCGAATTGGGCATCAAGGAGTGGGATATTGCCGCTGGTGTGTTGATCCTGTCTGAGGCCGGCGGATGCTATTGTCTTATCAATGGGGAAAAGCCAGATGATTTTCTCCATCGGCGCCAAGTTCTGGCATGTTGTTCGGAGGAATTGAGTAAGTTCAGTAGTGGTGATGAGGTCGATGACGGTGGTGGTGACTCAGGAGAGGAAATGAGTTCGAAATTGGAGTACATTGATTGGTGGGAAGATCAAAAATGAAATGTTGGTTTTTTATTACGGTAATGATGGATAACTGTCCGTACATTATAAGTGCCACTTCGGCTGAGCTGAAAGCTTCGAGTTCGACTCAATCGGACACCTAGCAGGTTTTCTGTTGTTTTTTTTCTCATGTGGAAGTTCATCCTTCTCTTAACGATTCTGCTCCCGGTCGTGTCACCATACCCCGAGGATGGTGATGAGGCTACCGAGTACGAGAAGGATTTCGATGGATTTGATCAAGATGCCGACGGTAGTCGTACAAGGTATCCTCCTGTAAAGCTAACGCTTTGGTTAGGCGTGATTGATGCGCAGGAGATTAGGAGTGTTTACAATGGCGACCTTCAACCACAGGAGCTCGATGCCTTCGTAAGCTGTTGTGATATTAGATGCACGAGTGTGTGGTCTCAGGTTCGCGAGGTGGATACTAATCAAGATGGTTTGAGTGAGAGGAGTTACGAATTGATGCACGCTGATTTTAGTTTTTAGTCGACTACCCAGAGTACATCAACTATGCCATGGTCAGCAACTGATTATATCTATCATGGTCCCATGATATTGTGTACATATGATTCTAATATCTTTTGAAGATGTTGCGTTCACTATTCTTGATGGAAAACGGAAGATAGAGACATGTTTAAACTCGACAAATGATTTTCAACTTAGAAATGGAAAAAACAAATGTCGATGATAAGATGCGAATCAGTCATCCTCAACAGAGAAAAGTAGAGGAGTACTCAACAGCACTATTCCCGAACCTATCATTGTAAAGAGACGCAGTTCTAGACTCGAGTCGAAGGCGTTAGCCTGAGAAAAGCAAATGATGCACGCAAAAGGAGAGGACCTTTACCAATTCGCTTTTGAGGGCCTCGTTGTTGGCGAGAATTTCTTCAGTCTCCTTTCTGAGCTTGGCAGATGATGGAGCCGTCCGTAATAGTAGAATAGAGGGATCGAACTCAACTGAAGGACAGAGGTCGTGATGGAGGAACCCGACTAAGGCCGACCTTGTTTGGTATTGTCAATAACGACTCCCTCTCTAGTTAAGGCCTCATCCAGAGCATTCCTCAACCTAGAAAATGAAACCTGGGCACTCGAGAGGAACCCTTACAAATACCTACCTAGTCACCAGATTCGCAGAGTCAGAGGTGAGCTGTAGAGCGACGCCTTTCGGGAGACATCTGAAATACAAAGAATGATCTACAGCGTTGACTGGCAAGTCGTGGTTTATACTATAAACTTTTTATAATAAACGTTATAGCCACCCGTTGAGGTGGATTATTCCCGAAACTCACCTAATGGCCATTCCAGCTAATCTAGGATGTTTTTCTTCTTTTAAAAACTCCTCAGCAGCTGACTTTAGCGCGCTCACACAGACTTCGGTCTTCTCAGTGGGTATCCTGCCCGAGAACAGGTTATTCCAGATAGTAGTGAGATAGTGATACTAACCGTAAATCGTTGAGGATGATACGGAGCTTGTCCTTGCTCGGCTGGGCTTTCTTCGTTAGTTTCTTCGGAGCTTCCTTCATGGCCACCTCTTGAATGTCAGCGCACAGTGTCATGAAATCAGGCGAGGTTACACGAACCTACGCCAACAACAGTAAGGGCTTTCGATGTGACAAACCCCATACTTCCAATCGACAAGGCTCTCCTCCATCACTCTCTGAATCACCCTTCTTCGGCTTCTTATCTGACACGCATCCCTTCTGAGACTTGTGGATACCATCATCCACCTTTCTTAGTCTTCTTCGCCTTGGCCTCCTCCTTGGGCTCAGTAGACGGTGGGGGAGCTATGGTTTGTCGCATCTCCTCCGTAACCTCAATCGGTTCATCGAGTGGCAATGTATAGTTGACCGCGAAGAAGCCATCCGCTTGCTTCTCCTCTAATAAGGAAGCCTCTTCAGCATCAATGCGACCAACCAACTCACCTATCATAGAGCATAGTTCAACCTTCTCCACCGCTTCAACAGTGTCTCCCGTCTGAGGAATAAATGCAACGATACTTACCTTTCCGACAAACGTACCAGATTTGCATCATCCCCGAGCTTGGCCTTGATGTCATCAACGCTGGGTATTTTCAAAGCAGTTTTAATCTCTTTCTTTTTCTTGCGCAAGTCCGGATATTTCTACCGTGGCAAGACCACTCAACTACATGCATCTACTGCATAGACCTACCTTCACCCTCCTCATCCCCTGCGCGGCCTTAATGACAGTAGCATGCGGCTTGAACTCGGAACCTGTCGTCCATCGTGACTTCGACTACAACGTGCTGAGGGGCCGCCGCCGCCTACTTTTTTCCTTCGCCATTTGAATGTTCCGTCCCTTCAGCTCCGTCGAGAGTAGCTCGTAGTATCTAAGAGACGACTCACATCAACATCATCTCGACTGCGAGTGGTATACCTCCGCAACACAGTAGAAGTGCCCTCGTCCATCTTCAAGTGGAGGACGCCTGGGAAGGACCTGGACCATAGGTAGGAGGAACCACCGATACGGGTGAAGGTGAGGTCACCCTAGCTCTGATGGCTGCATCTTGATCCCGCCCTTTTCCTCCTCCAACAGCTCCTTCGTAGCAATCTTTATCGCATTGATCGCATCCTGTTTCCTCTCCTCTGTCTCCAGCCTGATCTCGACAAGCCAAATGATGACAGCAGAATTACGCCTAAGGGCACCTCATGACTGCCATAGAGATGTGAACCTTCTCCCGTTTCACACAAGCCCCCTTCATAATTTCATGAGCGTCCTTAGTGACGCACTCCTGAACCCTACCACAGTAGTCCAACACCTTTGGATTCGTTATACGTATCTAAGACTGTTCTCAGCAGAGCATGGCCATGACGAATTGCTTACAGCCAGAAAGTGAGTTAATAACGGCCTTGCCGCCTTCCCCCCAGTTTTCTTCACTCCTTCCTCTGCAACCGGCAGCTCGCCTATCTCCGAGACCGCGGTCTGCTCCGTCACATCGTCACTGGGGATGTCCTCAATCGAGATGAAATCTTCTGAAAATTATATACATCTAGCTATGCAGTGTTGTGCCTCCTACCTGTGCCAAGAGAAGGCTTATGCTTCGTGACTGGAGGTTCCTCACCACCCGAGGGTGCGCTATCGGAGGGGACTTCAGACGCCTTGTCGCCGGCCTTAGGTGGCAACGGCTGTGACTTCAGTACTGTTGTAAATACTCTCTTATTTGACATCCGTAGATGATGCGCTGTCGATGTCAACCACCGCAACGGTAATGCCAAATCGCTACTTCAACAAACTGAATCACCAAAGAGTTTCCACTACTACAGAACTCAACCTAAGAGAGGTATCGAAAAACTTCAGAGCTGCTGCCAGCATGCGACGAGAGTGAATAACTACGTGGAGCTATGAGGAGAGGAAGTAGCTGCTAGCGGCAGTGTCTGGGCTGTTGGGGACCGATTCGCCACCGGCCTTCACCAACTGCTGCTGCTGTTGCTGCTGCTGGTGGTGATACGGCTGTGTCACCACAATGTAGTCGCTGGTACTTGTGCCAAGCTCGCTAGAGAAAGGTGATTGGAGCTGGTACTGTTGGCGACATATAGGGCAGAAGAGAGAAATACCGGACCTGAGGATCGAACCTGCGCCTCCCGGCTAAAGTCACAACGAGCAGCAGCCTCACACCGATACGAAGATGCTCCCACAAGCCCCACAATGGACTTCTCTCGCTCCTCCTCCTCCTTGCATCCCCTTAGCTGCTGCCTGTGCTTGCATCTCTGAAACGCACAGCGAAGAATCCATCAAGCAAGATACGCCTGTATTCCCCTCACGCCTCTCAAAGATGTAACGATGCTCTTCCTCAGTGAGGATGTCGTTGGTCCGGTCCACTGTAGCCATCGGTCGTTCGCAGAAGTTTCCCATAACACTGAGTAAATGCAACACACTTGAGCTGTGCTGAACCGCTTGCATTATACCAACACAACGACGCGATAGGAGGAGGTAAAGTGAATCACGACGAGCTCCAAAACATGGCGGTTACAAAGGCCATCGACCACTCCCATGGTTCGACCACCTGCATGGCCGTATCTGCTCCGTGGCACAGAGAATATCTTCCACCAGGATGCGCAGATACGTCCTCTTCCCCACGCTTCAATCACGTCAACGAATCGGAGGTGAAACAATTCCTATGTTCTGGCCTCTATAGTATACCCCTGTAGACACCTTAGCCTTGGGCGGAGGGGCAGCATAGAGCCCCTTCATCAGCAACCTTTTCACCTCCTTCCTAACCTAATGCTCTTCAGTACATCGACACACATCATCGCAATGGCCGCTAGCTAAGCCATGCGTTACATACTGCAGCGCTGATTTTTGCCAAGCTGAGGCCAATAAGATCGGCTCATAGTCCCAACGTAACAGTGAAAAAGCGTTTTACCTCTTTCAACAGTCCTGAGCCTTTTCCTTCAAGCACATACGGATTTATACGCTACTCAAAAGAACGTCTATCCTCCCGTTTGGAGTACCAGAGGCGTCAAATTGAAGCGACGAGCGTGGTAACCGACCCTACGGGGAGCGAGAGTGCTTCAAGAACGACACTAGTGGTGTACGAGCATATTGGAAGAGGGCGGCGAGGGTCAAACGATGTGTATTTGGGAAGAAAAAGTATAAAACCCGATCATGTCATGATGATGATGATGATAGTCCCGAGATTTCCCAGCCAGGTAAGGCCCTGAAGCACCCCACAGAGTGGAGCTGTCGATGGTACTACATTCACCAAGAAGCCAATGGAATCCGGTTCCACTCTCCAGACTAGGCATACTATATCTCCCAAAATCCTTCAACAGTAGTAGTAGCTAATCAAATGTAGGAGAGGGTTCGACCCCTATATAGGCGGTCGTCATACTATCTACCCTAACGCCTGTAATAACAACGACCAACCTCGCTTCATCGAGCTCTATAACAGTGATGGTGTTGTTATTATTACATCCTTCCCTCAAGAAGTAAGTCATCCCACTGCAGCTGAGGCAAGACAAATCTCCCATCCATCGTGCATACAGTGTAATCCCGCTGATGGAGCTTACTACTACTACTACTACTACTACTACTACTACTACTACTACTACTAAACAACTGAGAGAGGCCCCCCCTACACAATCCCCCTTGTCTATGCAAAGCCTCCTTCAACGTACTTGACAACACAACAGGTAAGCTGAGAAATCTGCTCTGCCGCACACAAACACTAATAAAACAACTAGTAAACCACAGCCATCAGTGAGATCCAAATCGATAGCCAACGCCCTAGTCTTTGCTGAGGGACTTGTACGCCGCACTTACAGCATCACCAGCTGACTCACCGGCCGACTCCAGCACAGCGTAGGTCTTCTCCCTCCTCTCAGGCGTGAAATGTTCATCTACGAAATCTTTACTACTGTGATAAGCAGCACAAGTAGCAGTACTAGCCACATTCCAGGTACGGCCCAACTGTGACCGGTCCCCTTTAGTAAGAGAGAGGCCGTCCTCAGATCTAGACAAGAGATAGTCATACCCCTCACACGACTTCTGCCATGCATATCCAACTGCTCGCTTACACGTCTCGAAGGCATCAGAGTTAGCCATGCTGTTAAACAGATCAGTACTACAAACTGACCAACACCCATATTTCCTTTACCACTACTCATCAACTAAACAATAAGGAGGAAGTGAATAAAGAAACGCCGTATGTATAGTCAACCACCGTTCAATATAACAAATCGGATGGTAGTACTGTTCAGATGAGCCACTAACAGCGGTGACACAGTTCTCTGGTGTCACCACTCACAAAATTGCCGCTTCAATGGCCTCTCAGACTAGACTTATAAGCCACAGCAGATGCAGGTTTACTACTGCTACTCGTAGGCATTTTCTTACTATCAGCAACCGCCGCCTTCCTTCCAACACCCGGGAGGACAGGAGCTGCCATGTTATGCGCCTTAGCAGGATCAACACCTCGGACTGCACCCACAGACTTCCTGCTGCCATCTTCAACTGTCGAGGGCTTACTCTCCTTCACAGTTGTTGAGCTAGCGTCACCCTCATTGATCAGACCAACAGGTTTAGTGACATCTCTGGTTTCCTCAACAACCTTATAAACATCTTCAACACCCTCCACCACGGGCACCTTCTGGACTTCATCCACAGCTATCTCTGCTGCCTTCCTCTCAGCTGGGGTCTTCAGACACTTGCTCTGTACCATCTGCTTAGCCTCTTTAACATAGTAAGGCGTGTTGCTAACAACAATGCTAGTAGCAGTGCTCACAACAGACCAACTTCGGCCCAGTTGAGACTTTCCATCTCTATTCAGATCAAGGCCATTCTCAGACCTAGTAAGCAGATAGTCGTAACCCTCACAGGTCTTCTGCCACACGTAACCAGCCGCTCGCTTGGCCTCAGCATAGGCCTCGGAATCGACAACCTTATGGTAGGTCTCCGCCCCGCACATAGCTCCGTCAACACGTGTTTGTTCTTGTGCTGACAATTCCAATGGATAACTACTCATTTTCTTAACAAAATGGTAAAATACTAGAACGAAAACTCATACTTACAATTAGCGTTGAGGAAATGCAAGAATTCTCAAGATTGCAAGATCGAGCTAGAACACACAGGACTAGTAGTAAACACAATACTTGCTGCAATAGAAACGTCAATCTCCGCGCCATATATTCCCACATTTAACACAACGATAAAAGGTGGTCATCGGCTCATCAGCGCTTCGTATCTGCATCTGCTTGAAGTAAGCGCGGTTGGAGTCACAACCGTCAGCTGGACAGACAGCTGAGGAACATTAAGTAGGCGATTGACGTGTGAGCAACAGATGCTACCTTCAGTCTGCTGAACATCTTTCCATGCATCAGGACCACCCAGGACATCCTCAACTACGGGACCACCTGACAAAGAATACTTGTGAGGAAAAAATGACAGGTGGTGGGATTGAACCTGGGTCGTTCGATGGACAGTCATGCATTACCTTCCTTATGTAATATCTCCTTCTGCGTCAACTTCTCCGATATTGGAAACAAATACGGACATGTTCGGCACCAGTACCTACCACCACCAGTCTCCTATTTGTAAACTAGCGTTGGAATATATATGTTTGTCCTCATCAGCTGAGACCATCAGTTTGCTCACTAATTATAGAAGTTTACTTACAAACTCGAATAGAAGTGCACCAAGAATTTCCCAAAATTTCCTCGGAATTTGCATACTGTCAGCAACACATGTACTTGACTGTGTACATATTCTCCCACACTTCCAGAAGTAATGAGTTCAGTCCCTTCCTTACTTCATCGTATCATGACCAGCCTGCAGCACTAGTAAATTCCCACACGTTGGACAGAACAACACTCCAGACATACGACTACTACCAACAACAACTACTACTGCGTGGACATCACTATCAGCTCTACCTCCCAACTCGAACCTCCCTCATGTATAGAGAAATATAGACATTAGCTAATACAAGCTTTCGATAGTAGTAGACGTACAGTGTTGTTGGACGTAATATCATCAGCAGCACCCGACGTCTGCTGATGATAATGGTGAACACAGAAACGAAGAAACGAGAAGGACGAGGAAGATAAATGCGAACGGCGGAGGCCGACAATATATCCGGTCAACTTGGTATCATACGTAGCTAGGCACTTCCCTCAGCAGTCATCTGGCCTGACAAAAAAGTTGTCTAGCGCATGTATCAAAACCAACATCATCTCGCCCCGCACAAGTTCGATCCCCACCACCGTTACCTTCCGCCGGCTTCTTCTCCGCCATCAGCGACTTCTTAGCATTTTTCCCTCGGTACTTCTGTATATTCTCTTTCCGCTTAGCCTGAGCCGCCGCCTGCTTCTCCTTCACTTCTCTACTCCTTGCAGCCCTACATATCTTCATCATTGATCATTCAGAGCATCATTCCTACCACTCCTCTCGGGATTTATTCTTTTTCTTATCAATAGCCTTATGAGCTTTCCTCAACTTATGGACATCATCATGAACCTTCTCCCCAGCAGCCCTCTTCATAGCCTACATCAACACAAGTGGCTTATCACAGCTTCGATCAAACTGTCACCAGAACTCCATTCCACATCTAAAAGCCTCGTTCCGACCGGGAAATTTATACATGTCGTAACAGTAAGGGAAAATATGCACATGGTCAACTTCATGTGTTGGTGACAATATGAGCAAATTTCGAGCAAATTCTTGCTGACTTTCGTACACTTCTACCCAAACTACTATAGATAGTGAGCGAACTCCCAACCTCGACTGAGGAAAACGGGAATCTTTTCCAACACTGTATCATAACAACTCGGATTTACATTACTCAACTACGTCATTTAATAACGATTACTACCCTTTCAATGGCCTTATCTTGACTTAGCTTCACCCTCTCCTCAGCAGAGGAGGCCTGGGCAATCTGCTGCTGCTCCTTCTCAGCTTCGTGTATTTCCTTTTCTAAACGCTGTCGCTTGGATACCCTCTTCTCCTTGTGCTCCTCGACTGAAGAGAACAAAAACACCCTTACATCGATTTGAACCCAGGATCTACCGATAGACAAACAAACGGCTAACTCGCTCAACTACTAAACACAACTGTCTCTACAACATTCGTACCATCAGCTGCCCTCTTCTTGAAGTTGAAGGAGCTGAAGTCGAGGTCCTCCTTCACATTAGTCTTCTCAGCGTCTTCCTCCTCCTCCCTCTCCTTCCTCCTAGCCGCTGCCGCAGCCTTCATCTCAGCCTTCTTCTTCCCACCATTCTTAGCCTTCTTCTTTCGCTCCGCTGCTGCCGCCTTCTGCTTAGCTCTTCGGAGCCTCTTAGCATCAGCAGCGTTCTCACCCTAAGGGAAACAGTACGCGACTCGTGAAATGCTTCTTGTTATCAAAATTAACATGTACATAGAACTTCTACACATCTACTGATAGTCTGCTAACTCCTATACAACTCGAATTTAAAATTCAAACACGATTGAATTCGAATAACGATTAAGGAACACATCATTAGTCAACTTCGAGGCCGACTATTGCCATCACCACCGTGTAAAGTCTATAACTGAGAATTACTACTACTACTACCTCCTCCTCCTCTGTTTCCTTCGCAGCCTTCTTCCACTCCTTCTGTGATTCCCTAGCCCTCCTAAGGAGTACACTCTACCCCCAACAACACTACCCCAACATCACTCCTACTTCAAAGCCTCGATCTTAGCATGAAGCTTCTCCCGAAGTTCCGCACCGGAGACAGGGCGAGTAACCTCTGAAGATGAATATCACTGAGGTTGACGTTACACACCGGTGTCTTATTAATACGAAATGGTGAGACAAACTACACCGGGTAGTAGATTTTCACACGAGGGTATGTAACAAAACGTGGCGATTCAGAATCTATGTTTTTTTCCGTCTGTACGGCGAGTACCTCAACGTTACGCTCCCCTCTATTACTAGCCTTCTTCTTCTTAGCATTCTTTTTAGCCCCAGAAGCCTTATCCTGCTCAGCCTTCCGCTTACTGAGCACTTCCTCCAACACTCTAGTAGTTCCCTTCACATAGCGAGGATCTAGCTGCCTTCCATGGTGGCCAGCTTCCTGTACCGTCAACGGGGAGTCACCGAATGTGACGGTTTGAAGGTATTGATGAGCAGGTATCAAATCGATCGTCTGATCGATGCCATCCCGAACCTCCCTATACCTGCGCCGTAACGTCTGCTTATTCAGCGCCTTGGACGATACTGCTGCCTCTGAAGGCTTCTCCACTAGAGGAGTGACAGACATGTCGACACTAAACCAAACTTTCCCAATACTCTACAGAATCCCAACTCAACATAGAACGGAAATAGAATCTCAAAATTCTCACTAATATGCGTTAATTCATTCGGGTTGGGCATCCATCTAGAAGAATATAAAAACCCAAAATATGTACATGTCATAATGCGCGAAGTTCCGAGAAACTATCTGAGGCTTCCTGACCTGTTATCAATATACTAATACTACGAAGTGCAATCTACACATGGCAACTGATCGATCAAAAAGTAGTACATGTGTTCAAAGCAGTATAATTTCCTTGCCTGAAATGATTCCATTTTTCCCCAAGCCCAGAATAGTGATACCCTCAACGAGCCTCGCATGCCTTTCGCTGGAAACAAAGCTCCCCTTATATTACTCTCTTAGTTCCAATCTATAAGCAAAATTTCGGCTTCATGCAAGTCAACTTTAAATGGTTACCGAAAATGAACATTCTGCGTAGACTTCCCACCCTTCTGCAATAAAATGAGTCCTCCACTACTGCATTGGAGGAACGATAGGAAGCAGTCTCCTCCCCTTCCTTTTCTGGGCATCACTCTTCAACGGAGTTGGACAACAGCGAGGTCCATAGACAATATGGTGATAAGGCCCAAAGACCAACACCTGCCGAAGCTCATCCATCTCCACAAATGCAAACACAGTTTCCTGTAACCCCACCACATATCGACACTCAGCTTGCCCACGAAGGAGACCTATACAAACCAGGACTGTCTCATCAGTATAGCGATCATAATGATCTGCAATGCATCTGTGCCACACACGGCAACCACTGAGATTAAACTCCCTATAGACAGGCCCGTGAAAGCCCGAACTATTTTCACAATAACCACCCCCCCCATGCTTCATCCAAGCCTAGTACCTTGCTTCCCCGTAGCAGACGTCCAAATGCCTGTCTGTTCAACTCACCACAGACGTCCTTATGCAGCTGATGACGTAGTCTCGTACGTCCTCAACCACTCAGGGAAAAAGGATGCATGTAAGCACTACTAAAAACAGCAATATAATCAACACTACAACCCTACAACCGATTGGTACTGTGCTAGGACAACATCACCGAGAAGAATATATGCAAGGGGAAAATGGTAAACCAGGTACTGCATCTATTTACTGCGTATTCTGGTGGATGAAAAAAATAGAAACCTTCCTCCCCTCCGCAACGTGGTGTATCGCACTCGAGTGCCCCTCCCCCGATCGATTACGCAATACTTGGTCACTAACTCCACAACGCCACTCCATACGGTCTATACAGTTAAACGCACACTTCGTTGCATATGACAACAGACCACCGCATCAATGCGTCTTCAATCATAAGGTCCGAGCGAGCACTGCTATCACTGTATCCGTCGCGGGTAGTGATTACGCACAATAGTGTTATGCTATAGTAAACCCATGCTACCTCTTACTCGGACCTCACCTGTCTGTCTGATCATTCAGAATTCCCACAGTTCCAACAGTCGATTAGCCGTTGATGGTAGCAATGATAGTCACATGCAATGGTTGAAGCATATTACTTGTTATAGAACGCCACATACAAACTCGGGTAGAAGTGGGCAAGAAGCGGTAATAATTTCCAACAATTTTCTCAGAATTTTCATATTGTCACCAACATATGTAGTTGACCGTGTGCATATTTTCCCACAGTGTGACTCATATAATGAAAAGCTTCCCACACGGGAGGCGTCTGAGTGCTGCTAAAATTGTGTGATAACGCGTAAACGAATCCTTCGCGCTGCGCGCATAATCATCCACCGCTAGGATTCCTCGGGGAAAATGTAGCCTAGTTTGTCACTGGCAGAATGTAAAGTCCGCACTCATTGCTTTCATGAACCTTAAAGGAAGCGTCGTCGAGCTCCCAAACGATCCCAAAAACAGTTCCCGAGAGCAAAGACAGTTTAGAAGCCGAAATCGACGCTCTTGGTGATGACATTGTCGTCATTATTTGCGAATGTGATTTCTATATTCACTAAATTGGGACAGTTTCGCGAAATAGATTCCTGTAAAATATAGAGAGTCTAATCTAGACCCTCTCATGAGTCTCATGCCAACTGTTGATCCTTGCCTTTATGGAAGCATCACCGATAGTGATTCACCATCTGGTTGCCAGTAGTGTACGGCGGAACGCCGTCACTCGCGCTCGCCATATTGATCGATTGACATTACACGATGGATGATCAGTGTGATGCCGTAGCCTCCGTGAGATATCTCCTTTGGGGTTTCTCTCTCAGCTGGGATGATCTCATCCACGCTTTATCGTTTTTGCAGCTCGTCTGTCGTATAATTTGCCACTATCACTAGCCTCTAGACTCTAGAGTCTAGAGGGGTTTGTGGCCAATCAAAATCAAACTTCTCGGAGATGCTTCCCGCACTGTGCTTCCAGCACAGGTCATCTCAAGTGATGATGTAAAGGGAGTCCCTCTGATTTGCTATAATACAACCTCATGTTTGTTTGTTAGACTTCATGTGTGAGTTGCTCTCGCCACTTTTGGTCATGTATTTCCTCCCCATTTCGTCGATACATCCACCCTGTGTGAGGTAGTATTAGGAGGCCGAACGTGGTATCACCCCATGGATGCCCAATGGGCATTGAGACCATCAGATGAGATATATGGGATTGCTCATATACCTCATCTGATGGTCTCAGTAACCTATCGTGGAGATTGGAGGAGAGGGCGTGGCTGATGTTACATGTTCATAGTGTAGTTTCTCTCTATAAGAATTGTCGTGTTGGCCCTCAGATTCGTTCATCGCCGCTCACTCGCTGTGATTACTCGGGGCACTCTTGTACCGATTTTTCTATCAGTTTCGCTACGCTGTGTAATCTTTGCTCTCACGGAAGTCCTAATCATCCTCAATGGGTGGCCTAGGATTAACGGACCTAGATCGGGTCCTAGAGATAGAGGAGGACGAGGAGACAGGCCGCTACTACCATCATCACTCCACCAATCGAGTCAAAGCTCTTCCTCCGATACATCAGCAAGTTGGTGACGATGCTCTACGTGGAGTACCACTGTCTGATGTGGCTGCCCGGTGGTTGATATTTCGGGGCTCAAAAGGCACTAGTTCGACCTACAACCTGTCCCACCCTGTCAGCCACTTGGATCTCTTTATCAGTCACTCCTGGGCCGCTAATGCGTTCTGGAAGCATCTATCACTGGTCACTGCATATTACATCTACATCGCGTATATAGCTCTACTCATACTGTCTATCTCTCTTTCCATTATGGTGTACTTCCTGCCAAGTCGTAGGGAGTTCGTAGCCTTCTATGTTGAGATAGGAGGGCTTATGGTTGTTTGTTTCGGGGTCGCTTTTGGCTACATCTTCCCACGGTTGTTCCGGAAGGATCAGGTAGTCTTTCTAGACAAGTGCTGCATCTCTCAGACTGATATAGAGTTGAAGAATATCGGAATCCATCATATCAGCTCCTTCCTGAGCAGATCGGATGGTCTCGTCATACTGTGGTCGACCGATTACTTCTCGAGGCTCTGGTGTGTCTTCGAGCTGGCGAGTTTTCTTAGAACTCACGAGCCAGGAAGAGTGACTTTCATCTCTATTATTCAGACTAAATTCAGTACTCTAGTGGCACTGTGTGAGGCTGCGATCCTGGTGACCATGACTTCAATTGATCTCTCGGCAGTGAGCAAACAGATCGAGTCCTTTACACCTTTAATCCTTTATCTTTCTCTGGAAGCTGTAGTTACAATCATTATTAGTACTATTGTTTGCTTCATATTTGTACCAGCGAAGGCCAACTTACAGGCCCAGATCAATAACTTCACCGTGGCTAGTGCCCAGTGTACTTTACAGGAAGATCGTGCATTCATAAGGGAGAGCATTGCCAAGTGGTATGGCTCAGAGGCTCAATTCGAAGGGAATCTCCGAGCTCATTGGGCGGAAATAGCTGCTACTCAAATGCCGATATGGACGTTGAGCAAACGAGGTGTTTATATAGTAGTAGCACCCTTCATTGCCTATGGGATACCAGGATTGGCCTTCTCTTTGTCCGCAGATGGTCTCCATCCTGTCACAGAATGGTGGAGGCCTTTACGAGATATGCTTATACTGACGATCATGCTTGGGTGCCGAACTCCTTTGATTGCTAATGTGGCCTATAAAATGTATGCGATGAATACACTGCATAGTCGACTGTCGAAGGTTGTACTATACACGGCCATTGTTGCATTTGGTTTAGCTTATGATGCTACCTTGGTTGTTGGTGGTGGAGCCGCCTTGTTCAGTAATACTACAGGCTATCAGATCAACATTCCGGAACCTTATGGTTGGATATTCGTCATACCAGTGGTCTTCGTGTTGGTCTACCTGTACATAGCGTATACAAGGCACACTGATGTTACCCCAACAGCTGTTGCTGCTGATTCAGGTCGTTCGTTTGCACAACAATATGCGCCTACCACTTCATCGTCAGTGTGAAACAGATGTTCTCTTGTTATGGTACTCACAGCGATTGCTGCTGCTGTGCGGGACTGGCATGTCCAAATCACTCTATATGATTCCTACTCTATCCTTCCTGGTCCCAACCAGCAGATATAGCCTCGTTGTTCATATTATTACTGAAATAATAGCTAAGGTTTAAATAGCCTTGAACGTTCCTCTCCGTCATAATCCAGTCAGTATCCTCTACTCCGACATATTGTGTTTGAGTTTCGTTGGGGTGGTTCACTACAGACAAGGAGTCAATGCTATTGACTCAATAGTCAGATCTCGCTTGTGTCGTCAAGAAATCAACTAAGCGGGGCAGCTATGCCATCCCAAGGCGAGTCTTAGTATAATTAACTGGATGCGGCAGACATGCTTCAATGTGAATAATTTCTCAGTGCGGGGCAGCTATGCCATCCCAAGACGAGTCTTAGTATAATGAACTGGATGCGGCAGACATGCTTCAATATGAATAATTTCTCAGTGTGGGGCAGCTATGCCATCCTAAGACAAGTCTTAGTACAATTAACTGCCAGTTAATGACTGGATGCGGCAGACATGCTTCAATATGAATAATTTCTCGGGGTAGGGTAGCTCTGCCACTCCAAGATATGCCTCATTAGAATCACTTCCTCTGAGCGGGACAGCTACGCCGCCCCAAGATATCCTCCAGTACAATCAGTTTCTCCATTTGGGGCAGCTATGCCCCCTCCAAAAGGCGTCTCAGTACAATCAATTCTTCTGTGTGGAGCAACTGTACCATTCCAAGATATGCTTCAATTCAATTAATCTTCTGAAGTCAATCTAGCTGTCAATAAGGCCTATTCTACTCGGGGCCGATATGCCACACCGTGTTTGGCTTGACTAGCTTTAGTAAGATATGGTGATTCTCACATGGATTCTTCCATATTATTGATTCAGGTGTCCTTGAGAAAACTTATTGTTACGGTTATTAGTATTCAAGCTAACGGCTGATGACCGATGACAGTGGAATGAGTCTGAATAGCACAATCTCTTTCATAAAACGTTTGGATCCATCGTAAACTTTGGGTACGCTTCTGAGATCACTATGAAGGCAGTGCAACATGCAATTAATCTTTAATCACTTCCATCGCGAAGGATGGGATCGTAGTTGACAACTCGTTTATCGATCAAAGTTGCGTGCGCGACCTCGTCGAAAAGTAAGTAGTTCTGGATTGATGTCCGAATAGCCTAAATAGACCCTTTCTTACATTAGGTGCTTGTTGATTTCCGGATTCCTGATCCTGCTCGCTCTTACGCATTTCGCTGAATCTCGTATGATGGAACAGATGATACCCTTTATGGAAAGAATGCAGATAGAATTATGAAAATTGTGAGAATGGTACCATGTGACCCTATCTGGGGGTTTGGATGAGGTTATTACTACCGCCCCATGTTAATTAGTCTTCTGACAAACAGCGTCGTTACAGTGCGTCTAACTGTAGAGATGTAGTTTGGGTTCAGAAGGATGCTGTTTTTATTCTTCAAGTTTCTCGGTTTCTTGTTTGATGCCCCTGTTCTCGTTACCACAAAGCAGCAAGCCCCTGTCATGGACCGATGCCTCCGGTAATACCTATTCCTATTACGAGCAGCCTTTTTTGAAGTCCGTTATCTTCATTCTGGGCCAGGAGCTGTGTGAACGATTGGCATATTACGGCCTAACGCCCAACTTGCAGACCTTCCTAAAAGAGTTTGCTGGTATGGATGATAGTGGAGCCAACTCTTACATTTCTATTTTCAATTCGATCATTTACTTGACCCCCCTAGTGTCGGCCGCTCTATCCGATACTATCCTCGGTCTATACGTCACTATCGTCGTATTTTCACTGATCTATGCATGTGGGTTGGTTCTACTGACGCTATCAGCAGTAGAGTCCATCTCTGAACAATGGATGATTGATGTGGCACTACTCTTCCTCATTGCACTCGGTGCTGGTGGTATCAAGAGTTGTGTCAACATCATGGGTGCCCAGCAATTCCATCCTGAGTACCACAGGAGCCTTATCACAAGGTATTACACCTATTTCTATGCTACTATCAACGTTGGTAGTATTATTGGTGGTATCGTCTCCCCCATCCTTGTGCAGGAGTGCTCCTTCTTCGTGGCTTTCCTCTTCATTACAATCGTCTTCTTGTGCGCCTGTGTAGTATTCCTATCGGGTGGTATATTGGGGAGATATGTCAAGCCGAAGCCGCAGGGTTCGGCAGTTCTGAAAGTGGTGGAGGTCCTCTGCGTCGCCTGTACAAAGTTCTCACTCGATAAGTGCAAGAAGTCGAAGGGTGGAAAATTTGAGGATTCCTTTATTGAGGACACGAGATGTTTATTGCGACTGGTGCCTATGTTTACTATTGTTATCCCATTCCAGATGGTCTACACTCAAATGACTACTGCTTATTTGACGCAGGCCAGTAAGATGGATACAGACACCTTCGGTTGGGATATGCCTGCAGCAATGTTCCAGAATGTCGATCCCTTCGCTGTTATTGTTAACTCGCTGATATTGGATCAGCTCGTATTCCCCTTCCTACAAAGGAGAAACATGATGCCCTCAGTGTTGGTGAGATTTTGCCTGGGTTGTGTGGCTGGTGCATGCTCCTTGTTATGTGCTATGGGGTTAGAGTATGTCGTGATGGCGAAGCCTTTATTCACTATCTCAGCATGGTGGCAGGTCCCTCAATTCTGGCTTATTGCTCTCGGTGAGTGTTTTCTATTCGCTACCTCGTACGAAGTCGCCTTCACTTACTCACCTGGGCAATTGAAGGCATGTGCTTCTGGGTTAAACCTCTTGTTCTTCTCATTCGGTTCTATGCTCTCGGCCGTGCTCTTCCAGGTCTGCTCGCCCTGGTTACCTGATTTCAAACCCGACGATCCTTCTACATGGGGCGGATCTCATTACGATTATTACTACATGGTCTTGATCGGCTTTTGCATCCTGGGTGCTCTTGGCAGTCTAGCGCTCATTCCTTACTTCAACAGGGTCGCGGCGGCTAACCTGGGAGTTGCTCAAAAGGATACCAGGCAGTCGAAGGGGAGCACTGTCGACTCGGAGGCCGGCGGCGTGGACGGTAAATCTTCGAAATCTGCTGTGAAGTCTGACCCTGCTGACTTGGAAGGTTAGACTTCGTGCAGCATCTTTCGTACTGCGATGTTGCCCATCTCGTTGGTGGGATGGTGGTGACCACATTGCGGCGCTTTTTACCCTCTTCATTGGGGATGTGGCGTTGCACACTGTCTACTAGGAGTTAACGTGGAGTGTGTTATCGTGTTCACCATCGCGGCATCGGATGCTACTGTAGTTTACTATCAATCAAGTTATCACCTTCATCATCGCTTACAGCATTAGCTCATTCATACTATTATCGCTGGAAGGCAGGTGAACCACCATCTTACCTTTCAGGCTGATACTCTTATAAAATATAGTCAGTCATTTGTCGTCATTGTTCGTCGTGAGCGTTGTCGGAAACATCATCCCTGCCATTATATGACCACTTAGTTGCATCGCGTATGCGTGCTCTGAGGCAGATTTGTGATGGTATTGCCGTTGATGTGTTGTCCAAGAAGGCTACGTAAATACTAGTAGCTTGTGATGTACTTCTCATTCTTCCCCTCACTCTATTCTCAAGCTCAGACTATTTGTCTCTCCAACATTCATATGCGCACTGCTGCTACCAACGAAGCACTCACTCGATAGTCTGGATGATGATGAACCTGTTGTTGTCCCTGTCTGAGTTGCTCCATATGTTGGTAGTAGTTGTTAGTCTTTACCGCTGTATCTCAGGGCTCTGGTTGTAATTGCTGCAGCTGGTTTGGTTCTAGGTCATTGCTGACCGTTTATATCACTGCTACGGGCGGTTGAACCGTCACGGTTCCCTCGAGTCGTCAGCAGACTATAGCTGATTAATATGGTTACGGCATGACTGTTGGTTGCTTGAACGAGTTGTCGTTCTTCTAGGCTATGGTGACAACTTATCGTAACCAACGCGCTAATGCCACTACTACTGGTGTGCTCGCTGCAGAGTTTAACTATCCCTACTACGTCAGTAACGCCCCTACTGTACTACATACATGTCGTAACGTAACCAGCTTCCGTTGCTAGACGAGTACTGATCATTATCGGTACTGTGGAGGCTGAAGCTGCTGCTAACACTGGTGTTGCCAAAACCGATAAAAGTCGGTGATTGGCTCCGGTGAATACTCGAAGCTTCTGTGTTCCAGCGGTATAACTTCGCTGAGTGTCATCGCCGCTTTCCTGTTTCTTATGTTGTTGGCAATGGTATGAGCACCGAATTGGTCAAACATCGTCTCCCCTGTTCAACATTATACGAATGTTGCGGGTCCCGTCCAAGGACGTCGAGACGATGTTCAGGATTCTAAGGTAGTTGTACTATGACCCTTATTCTACCCTCAATACAACCATCTGTCGTTGTGATTATCAAGGTTTTACACTACCTGGTTTCCGTCGGTAATATGATGAATAACCTAAGTACGATCGCTGTTGAGTATGGGAGTGATGGTAAATGCCAGGAATCTATCATAATGCGATATCTGGGACGGCACTAGATCTGACGGCTTCGAGCTGTTATCGGAAGTGGTGTAACTTCGTGTCGTTCACATCTTTCCTCGGATTGGGCGGGTACGTCGTCTTGAGATATGCTCCGGTTACCGGAGTCCGGTACGAGCACTCTTGTAAACCCGACACATCTCGAGGACAGATATGCCCGTCTTGAGGGCAGATATGCCAATATTGGGGGACAGATATGCCAGTATTGAGGGCAGATATGCCAATACTGGGGACAGATACGCCAGTATTGAGGGCAGATATGCCAATATTGGGGACAGATATGCCAGTATTGAGGGCAGATATGCCAATACTGGGGACAGATACGCCAGTATTGAGGGCAGATATGCCAATATTGGGGACAGATATGCCAGTATTGAGGGCAGATATGCCAATACTGGGGATAGATACGCCAGTATTAAGGGCAGATATGCCAATATTGGGGACAGATATGCCAGTATTGAGGGCAGATATGCCAACACTGGGGACAGATACGCCAGTATTGAGGGCAGATATGCCAATATTGGGGACAGATATGCCAGTATTGAGGGCAGATATGCCAATACTGGGGACAGATACGCCAGTATCGAGGGCAGATATGCCAATATTGGGGACAGATATGCCAGTATTGAGGGCAGATATGCCAATACTGGGGACAGATACGCCAGTATTGATGGCAGATATGCCAATATTGGGGACAGATATGCCAGTATTGAGGGCAGATATGCCAATATTGGGGACAGATATGCCAGTATTGAGGGCAGATATGCCAATTTTTGGGGCAGATATGCCAGTCTCGAGGGCAGATATGCCGATATTGGGGATAGATATGACAATCTCCGCGTGACATATCTGTCCTATAAACTGTCGACAACCATGCCTGACTATGAGCACAGAAATCGTGAAGGATTTCTTCCGCTGTATGAAAGATGCGATAGGCCCTCTTTCGAGGGAGCTCCTCGGCGATTGCCGGCAACAATTTGCAGCAAATCAGCCTATGAGAGATGGTCATTGCCTATCCTCGGCTCTTTCGCATCGAATACGAATATTCAGAGCCACGCATCATGAGCTTCCTCATTCCGCAATTGTGCGCAGATGATTTGAGCGTATGCTCTAGTTAGATAGACACGGAGATTCTCCACGCCATATTATGCTTTGGCATGAAGCGCTGGCGAGAGTGACGCCCCCAAGCATAAATGTGAGAAAGCTAACCCGAAACGTGGTTTGCGGAAACGTAAAAATGTTGTTGCCAGGGTTCGAACTCGCGACCTATTTTCAGGGCGAGGCAGTTTCACGCGTTCATGCCCTTGAGTCAAGGCCTGTACAATTGATTCTTGTAGTTCTGATTTTTCGTTTGATTCTAAGTTCAAGAATTTCGCTCATTTCACTTGGTAGAGTCGCTGTACTTCTCTTCTTTTGGCTGTCCTCATCTGTTGCTGTTAAATGATGGTCTGATCAGCGCTAGTTTCTTGTCACTTAATGCAAACTCCAACAAACAAGAACGATTCCGTGATGAACACCGTCCAACGAGGCGGTGGTTCTCGTATTCTGACTGTCTTAGACTGGGATGATACGATTTTACCCACGAAGGATATCATCAAACATGATGGGGAGGTACGGCAGAGTTTCATAGTCGGTAAGACACTCTTGGCATTCAGATGGAGCTCCCTCAGCGGTTCATCAGTATTGCGGCATCAGTGTTGGAGCTTCTATTGGAGTTGTCAGCCGATGACGGCTTGATAATACTAAGTTCTAGCACTGAAGGATGGGTTCAGCAGAGCTGTGCTACTTTTGCTCCCGAGTTGGAACCCCTCCTCGAGCGGGCTCGAATTGTTCACACCCCGAAGACGACTCGTCAATTGGGTTTCAAGTAGCACCACTTGAGTAGAGGTAAACTGGGGTCATGTTGTGGTCTCAGACAAAAGTGTCCGACGGTTGTTCAACTTGCCAACAAGTTCTGTCAGGCCGGTTTCGCCTCGAACGATAGCCACTTGGAGGTCAGTCGAGAATTCCTCACCTGTATTTGGTCACTCTATGTGTTCAGATGCTATTGATTGGTAATATGCCGGGTGATGTGGAACCAGCAAAAGCTCTCCGAGTGCTGTACCCTTGTGTGCCCGTTAAGACCTGCTTGTTGAAGGAAGTTCCAAGTGTGATCGACCTGGAGCGCCAATTGGTAATGATGTGGGAAAGGTGTGGTATGACTGTTGCATACCGTCACTCCTTCAGAGTTATCTCCTGCACTCATTGACGCCGTTGGTGGATGACCTCAGTGGAGTAGACGATTACTCTATCGCCCAAGCCTGCGAAATCGCTGAGATAGATGAGTATTCGAAGCTCTGTGCGAGAAGAAGGACCATCTTGAGGGGAGCGACTGTAGCTGGAAAGGTTAATGCTAAATCTGATATCCCCAAGCCGGAACACGACAAACCACTGAAACATGGGTAGGGTGCGTGAGGGCGTGCCTGGCTTATGCCAATTTGAGTCGATTTATGGAAAAGTCAGTTGTCTTAGATACCGCCGAAGGTCTCTCGCTTGCGAAGCATAATGTTTATGGTTTTTGAGGCTTTGGTAGTGATTGTTTGAAAGTTTTGCTTGATCTCGTGGTGCCTGGGGACTATGCTTTCTTTACACATTGATTCTCAGTAGTACTTCTATTATAACCACAGTAGGACTTATTCTACTGCTACTACGGTTTGGCCATCTACAGAGTGGCGATATTATGGGATGAAGTTGATGTTCTTGTAGTCTTTGTATGCCTCGTATGTCTGTATGTATCGTATGCCTCTAGTCTTCATTGTATTCGGCATAAGACTATGCGATCATTTCGAATACTTAGTTATGTCAGTTTGTATGTATACTTCCATAATTGTTTCTCGGATCAGCAGGCCAGCTGTTGCCGGTTGAAATCTAGAGTTTTTTGGTGTCTCAGAGGTTTTTGTCGATGAATTGCCACGGTTGCTGTCGCCTCCCTGAGGCGTTCCGGGTTGTCACTCAGAGGCTTTTTTATGCCCTCTCGTACTTTGTTGATAACGAAGGGTTTGCTTATGTGAATAGATCGTCAGTGTTATAATAACTGTAGTGTAGGCCGTACTCGTATCAGATGGAGGGTATCCACTGACGAGAAGGAGTAGATGATTTTTCACTTTTCAAGGGAGAAGAGAGATTAGTAGGAGCGAAGGAAAGCAAATACTGATTGTCTCTCGATAACTGAGCGTGTTAAGTTCATGGTTGGAAAGTGTCCGGATTGTGCGAAGTTGTTCTTAGCGCAATGGCTCAGCTACGACGATATAGAGAGAGGGAGATGGCCAAGTTCAGAGAGGCAGAGGCCAGGAATGAGTCTTTGAATAGGATGCTTAAAGATCAGATCATAATAGGTGGGCAGGTGGTAGTAGGTTGGTCGAATGACCTGTTGTTGGGTGTAGGGGGCCACACTAAGAGCGATAAGAGGGTTGACATGAGGAGGTGGAAGAGAGAGTAGCAGTTAAATGGATATGTCTACTGTGTCGAATTGGTCCGCTTAGGCAAGAGGAGATGGCTAGGGAGAGAGCAGCGGATGCCGAGTATTTGGCGAAGGCCACACATGTTGAGACGAAGAAAACGGTATTGTAGACTGTTTTGTGCGGCTTGATTCGCATGTATAGGAGTTTTTTTGGTGAGTGTAGGTGTGTGTTGTTGTTAGATGATGGCGATGGAACAAGCGGCAGCAGATGAGCTGGAAGCAAGGAAGGCCAGGGCGGTGAGAGAGGATCAGTTGAGGAGGCGGATATGTGAGGAGAGTGATGAACTGAGGCAGTTGAAGGATAGGATAGAGCAGGCTAAGGTGAGTGAGTTTAGTGACAGGGAATGTAGGGGGAGGGAGTAGGTTAATCGAGAGAGAGCAGTACAGCTACTTGACATGGAGTATAGGACACAGGAGCAGCGGAGGGAGGAGGAATTGTTGGAAACTCAGCTCGAAATGGGTGGGATGAGGCGGAGGAGTGGTAGAGGTAAGGTATGCTTCAGAACGATTAAGAGATTTGGAGGAGGAGAAGTTGAAGGAGCTTACAGTGGTAGTATTGGCAGGCGTTGCACCAGCATCGCTCCGCTAAGATTATTATACTTTATTTAGCACGAGAGGATGCAGCACACTAAGAGTCTGCAGCAACGGCAGATTGCCGAGAAAGAACAGCAGAGGGATATTGTGAGTGGGGGGGAGTCGAGGAGGTTGTCATTTGGTATCTCTGCTTCAGGCAATGTTGGAGCATGAAAGAGAGAAGGCGAGAGTGGATGCGGTGGTGAGGAG